CGATTAGTATTGTAGAGTTGATGAGTAAAGCTTTTCATTTAGGGTGCATCCAGGGGCGAAGGCTGACTTGTTTGACAGGGTAATCAAAGTGAAACGGGACAAGATATGGCCTGGAGATATCACACAAGAATCTTTCTCGAGGCGGCGACTCTGAGTTGTGAATGTGAATAATAACAAATCCGGAATTCATATTATTGTATGTTTAACCGCCAAAATAATCGGGAAAGTATCTCATTAATTAAAACCAATTCAAAGTATAATTAAATTTAACTTTAGATGTGAATACACAAACACAAATCAAAGAAGCAGAGATGTCAGTACTAGATATATATGTTATAGATCTACCAGGTAGTCTAACTCTTTGGAAGAACATGACAATTATCTGTTTTTTAAATTTCACATTTGGCTGTTTTTGTCTAGCGTTTCGCGGCCAGGAGCCGGTGTCATAATTGAGGTCACGATCTGATTATAGGACGGTAAAAAGTCGAGGAAAAAAAACAACCACTCGCAGCAGTCAAGAGATTATTAGGAATTGGTTACCCTCACATATGTGAGGTAGACTCGCCCAGTGCAATAGTTAGCTTACAGAATCAGTGCTTGTGAATGCTTATACCTGTGGCCCGAAAGGGGTTAACAGGGTATATATGGCAATGAAACAGTTTTGACTGCTATGCACATGTTCCCTTCAACTCTATTGGTAGACTCTTCCAGCCTCACTTTAAACTTACTTAATCAAAGCTTGTGACTGCTTATTCAGTGCCCGAGAGGGGTGAGCAGGCTATTTCTGTGGCAGTGAAGCCGTTTTGAATGTCAGGCATACTGTTTGTTGTTGGTTATGTACGTCTTTTTACTTTTAACTTATGGGGTTTACGTTTATGGGTGAATTTGACTGCGACAATGTTTCAAAATTAAGAATAGAAGCAGTGATTGTTTGATTATATAGACGCTTCACCACTGGGTGCATCTGACCTGAATCTGCACCTGATCATCTCTGAGCTTATGCATATTTATTCTCTCTTGCTGCCTTTTATGGTTTGTTGATTTTCTTTCTTTCTTTGGTGATCAACGCTGTGATGCCTGTCCTGTGATCTGTGTCCAGGCCTGCGTTAGGGATAGCTCTTGAGTCTGTGATTGTGATCCGTGTTCGAGATCTCTCTACACTAAGTCGACCTTGATGTTGTTCCATCTGTACCAAGTGTAGAGGTGAGAGGCTCTACGCTGGAAGAAGATATTGATGATGAATAAGTTATGCTCTGCACACAGTTCCAACACATAATTGATTTTACTGGAAAATGTTGATTAACGGAACAAAAAATGTGAATTTTCAGTTTTCACGTACTCTCAAGCTAAGAATACAAGTAATCTTTGTCGGTCATTTTCTCACTAATTCTACCTATGAAACCACGTGACCACCCCCCCCCACCTCCTTCATTTGCAAATATCTCAAAATGTATTCAAGCTTTTAAATGGATATTATATTTTTTTTCATCACAAGGAAGACTAATAAACAAGCTTGACTTTAAGGTGATACCAATAATTCTACACGCACAAAAAAAAATAATTGATGTAAGCCTGATTCCACCACGCCGTGACACATTTTCGTTGCCAAGCTTAGCAGTCAAAGCGGCCAGTGTGTGGGGGAGACGCTAACGGGACAGAAACTCTACGGGATTATGTTTGGTAAAATTTCGGGTACAACCTACATAGGAAATATTTGCTAATAGTTCATGCGTTTTTCAAATGCAATTTCATATAGCTCACTAGACTTATTAACATTTTGCCCTCGAGAATAAAAGTGGTGTAACTCTTTTTCTAGTCCAAATTGACCTATCACTGCCATAGGGTACAGCTTCGTCACATCTTTTACTCTAATAAGGGTCTAACTCCTTAGTGGTTATTTGGCAGGGTTTTTTTGTAGTTTCAATTCAGATATAGATCATACATTTATTTTCTGAAAACAAAAGTCTCTCTTTTTTCATAAGAGTACAGTAGTGTCAGTGGAAGACACTCCCCTTGAAGAAGTGGATTCCTTTACCTACCTTGGAAGTGTCATCGATGGTAAAGGTGGAACCGAGGCAGATGTTAAAGCAAG